AAAAAAAGGGAAAAGAAAAAAAAGAAAAAGGGAATTCTTTGGTTTTTTTTTTGATTTCCTTGGTAAAAGGGATACGTAGGCAGCCCTGTGGGCACAACCATTTTATTTATCGGTATTTGTTTTGTTTGTCCAAGGTCCTTCGGCCTTGTCAAAAATGGGTTGTCTCTGAGCTTTGACATTCACTCCCGTCATTGTTATGACTTTCGAGTTCTGTCAAAGAGGGGCAACTGTAGACACCCCCATTTTTTGACGCGCCCTTAAGACTTGGGCGCCACTGATGTTTTGCTTGGCGGAGAAAGGTGTGCAGGGCAAATGTTCAGTTTCTTGGCAAGAGAGAGGAAAATCCTTCAAAACACTTTGTTTAGGGGTTTGGAGTTGAAGAAAGAAGGAAAGGAGAGAGAAAACTAGTTTGGGGAAAAAGTTCGGCATGAATCCAGGTAGAAGCGAGTTGAGCAGCCTCTCGCTGAATCGGGCTTATCTATCTATACACTTGGAGTTTAGCTATGAGGCCACCACCGTCGGAAATCTTACTTTCCGGGGCCTTCATTTTGCACTCAAGAATCTCTTAAAGCCAAGTCCGGGTGGGGAGATATGATTGGTTGAAGTTGGTATCAATCCCGGTTGGATCGAATCTGCGGCGCTTTTCACCAAAAATGGGCATAACTAATTTCCACAGGAGGAATTTTAATGCAAGGTTTGCGCCATTGGAAAGCTAACTTCCGGGGATTCAATTTGGACACCAACCGGCCATCCACCAGCACTATAATTTATCCGGCGGCAATTTATTGTGCGACTGGCCCTTTAAATGTGCTGACCGGCAATTTTTGCTAGCGAACGACCTTCCGGAGCTTCTGCAGATTGAGTGGATTCCAGCTGTGGCCAGCTGGAATGCACAAGAATCGATCCACCACGCACATGTGTGGTTGTTTTGCACCTTGTGAGTCTTTGAACCCCTTAACCTTCTAGAAGCTTGAACCTTTGGCCAAGCTTCTTGGAGAAGCTTGGCCAGCTGTTTTAGCTTCCCTCTAGAAGCCTTGCACCCCTTAAACCCCTTTGACCCCTTCCCTTTAATTAGCTTGTAAGTTAAGTGCTTCCTTGCCTTATATAAGCACCATTCCTCTCCCTTTGTCTAGGTTGGATGGTTTTGAAGCAAAAACCAGAGATATACCATGTATATTTCTGATATACATACATACAACCCTCAATCTCTCTCCATATCTCTCTCATTCAATCATCAAATACCCTTGTTCTTGGACCATTTCTTCACCAACCCATAGCACCAACACCCCTAACACTTCATTCCAGCACATTGAGGTCATTTGCAGAGGTTAGGAGCACCCAAACTTCAACCAAAAGCTGCTGGTTCATTGGTCTACAAAGGTGAGTCCTCTTCTTCCCTTTTCTAGCCTATTCTTGCCATCATATCTAAGCCATAGTTGCTGGTATATTTGAGCTCCGGCCAAATGAAAGTGGCCTTATTTTTGAGCTATTCTAACATGTTTGTTGAAGGGCTCAACACTTGTTTTGGAGCCCTCCACTTGCACTTGCTTCAATATCTACTTGTATGTCTAATATTCTTGCATGCTTCACTAGCCTATCATTTTTCTATTTTTGAACCATGAATCAAAACTGAAAGTGGCCTTATTTTGACCTTCTTAACATGTTTTATTAAGGGTCTTTGCTTTTTTGGTGAATGCTTTGTATACCTCATGTTATAGCCACTTTTGAGCCTCATTTTGCATTGCATTTCTAGCATGTTTGTATACTGATTTCGGAGCTTCCATGAACTGTAAATGTGCATTTTTTTTGGTCCTCTTTCAATGTTGTAGAAGGGAATGTTTCAGTTTTGGGCTTTGCATATACCACTTGCTTCTTTGGCCACTTTTTTGGCCCGTTTTCTCTTGCATCAGAGCTTAGCCATATCTATGTTTGTTTTGGGGGTTTTTACAGTTCTGCAAAGTGGCCTTATTTGGGCCCCTCTTCAATGTTGTTGAAGGGCCCTAACAATGTTTGGGTCAGCAGCTGTGAGTTGCTTCATAATCTCATGTTTAGGGCCGTTTTGTATGCCATTTTAGCCGCCATCTTTGCTTGCTGTTTGGCCATGTCATAAACTGTAAAAATGCTTGTCTCAGAGCTGTCTTGCTTCTGTCTTCATGCTCCATGTCCATATTGTGCATGCTTTGTATAGCTGTAAGCCATTTCATGTGCCTAATACTTGCATTTCGGGATCTATTCCATGCGTTGAGTGTCGTTTTCGTTATTTTTCGGGGCCGTTTTGCATCACCTATTGCCTCTGAAATTGCAGCAAATGTTCGCCATGTTTGTGGCCTTTCAAATGCGTCGAAAAGTCGCTTCATTATGCTTAAGTCTTGGACCATGTATCTATGCATGTTTGCATGTTCATTTGCCCTCCATGCACTTAGCATTTTGCCATGTTTTGGGCTAACTAGAGCTGCCTAATTCATGTTTAAGAGCATCCTTTGCTTATTTGCAGCTCACCTCGCATGTTTGCTTGTATCGGCATGTTGCATTCCTTAGCTCGTATGCATAAGTTGCATTGCATCTTGCATGCATCACCTTGCCTCTTGAGATGAAGTATGATAGAGGTTAGGCCTCCTTGTGTGTTTTATTTGGCTTGCATGCATTTTGAAATTGAAGTTGCACACTTGATTCTTTGGGCCATCATGCATGGAAATGCGTGATTGGTGGTCCAGAAATCGGGGCACATCTTCCTTTGAGTCATTAACATGATAAGGAATGTGATTGGTGCATAAATTGTTTGAATTGCATTGCCATGCAAGATTTTTGCCCTCTGCTGCTGTGAGTTGCAGGTTCTGCAGGAATTTATTGCCGGCCGGCAGTATTTAGTGCCGACCGCGCAAGTCAATCGATGGCCGGTGGATCTATTTTGTGGCCGGTGACTAAATGCTACTGCCTGTGAAATTCTGCTCAGCCGATGATATCCGCCCAGTGTCCTGAGAGGCATCCCTGAGACTTTGGCAGTTTTCAAGAGGCAGAGCAGGGAAAACAGAGGCAAACTATGCATGGCAGTGCGATTCCGAGCCAGTTCCGAGCATGTGTTGCATCTGGCCCTCACCCCGAGGCGGTTTACTGTTTTTTTCTTTAGTTTAGTTAATTTTTTAAATTAATTAAGCAATTTGTAATATTTAATTAGCTTGCGTAAGTTAATTAATTTGTATTATTATTTTGGTCCCTCCGAGCGAGGGCATATTTGTAATAAGTGTGGCGTGCGTGTGATGTAATGTCTTCCAACCCCACTTCTTTCTTCCCTTTATTTACCTGCTTATGATGGTAGATTAGGGCACATTTATTTAGGCATACCTATGCTATGCATGCGTGCATTCATGCATTTTGTTGACATGCATCAGGCTCGGCACATCATGCTAACTGCATTCGTACTTAATTTCAAAAAATTGAATACGTGCATCAATTGATTGCATCTCACATGCCATGCTTAGGTTAGCCAGAGCCTACTTCAATTGCATCTCGTATGTGTTGCATTAGTCAATCTAACATGAACTAGGACATGCATGTTTTGCTAACTAGTTTATTATTTTTTGGCACGGAGTACGATGTAAGTGTTTATGCTTTAGCATCCCGCAATGCGTGTGAGTGTTGCCATGACAGTATGCTTAACATGTGGCTAGATGCTTGTGTGTTTATAATTGTTTTGAAATGCCTGTGGATGGAGGTTGAATTACCTAATTGGAATAATGCATTAAAACTGTGAGTTTTAAGCCCACTAGATAGTGGCAAAATCATCTTCTCTAAAAGCCCACTTGAGGTGGCAAAATCTGCATTTTAGCCTACTTGCGAGTAGGCAAACCATTTCCAAAAACAAACATGAAATTTTTTGTTCCAATTTAGGCGATTTGGTCTATACTTGTTTGCTGTGCGCATAACATAGTAATTCTGGCTAACAATTGGTTTAAGAACACATAAAGTTTTCAAAAACGGATATCACGGTTAGTAGAGGCCGGTCTTCGACCGGACGAAAGGGGGTGCTCATAAGCTGACCTTCCCGATCGTACCCAAGCTCTCGAGCCGAGACAACTCCGGTGATGACGGACATGTGGCCTCGGCACCGAGTCAGGG